TCACACACACACACACACACACACACATATATATATATATATATATATATATATATATATATATGTGTGTGTGTGTCTGTTCTGAAACAAATATTGCTTATTTAGAACATAAAATGTTCTGTACAAGCATTTCTTGACCAAGGGTCTTGTTCCCACATCTCCATCGATATATTGATGGCCCAAGGTGTTGACAGTATAGTGGACCAGAATTGACATTAGTTTATGAATTCTAAGTAAAAACAGTTTGTTTTTTAACTACTAGGTAATTTTTTTAAAAAATAACAAAATATTATAAAGCTTTATAAACTTAAAATACTATAAATATTTCTTAAATTAATGACATTTCAGAAATCGAGTTACCTGTAATTTTTTTAATTCTTTCTATGTTTGAATTTTTTTTTTTTTTTTTTTTTCGGCAGTGGTGTATACATTTTAAATTTCTTGTTTCAATCAAATTAATTTAACTTTAAATTTGATAATTTTCCTCAATGTTTCAAAAAAATATATTGTATTTTACAAAATTTTAAAAACTAGAATTAACTTTTGTTTACAAAACATGGCAAGACTTTTTATGGCTTTTTTTTATACTGACAAAAAATATCTACAGAAACATTGTAATCCGTATATAATTTCTGTTTGAAAAAACCAGGGTATTTTGCTTACTGGAAATAGTAAAAATTTAATTTTTTAATTCTTTACCTTTCAATTAAAGCTAAAATGAAAGCTTCAAGAAAGCCTTTTCATTATTAAAACTATGGATAATTAGTGGAGGTACCTACCACAATTAAAAATAAGAAAAGAAAACTAATTTCAAATGTCAATGAAATAAATTTTATCAAAATATAACTCAAATAAAAAATAAAGAAACTTAAACATGAAAATTCAAAAAATAAAAACACATTATTTTTTTTAAATAAAACTAAATGGTTTATGAGCATAAGGGGAGACAACCCTTAAAAAACGTGACCTTTTAACAATAATGTGTATGAAACACCATACATACATAGAAAAAAAAAGCATTTAGACACAAAGTTTTTTTTAATTGTAAACATTTTTAGTGGAATGATTTGTATTAAACTTTTCAATTTTCACTTAGTAAATATAATTATCACTTAAATATAATTATAAAATATTAAAATATTAATATTAAAAAAAATTATAAATATAATTATCACTTAATAACTTTGATGTTTGGAAGAAGTTTTAAAACATTTTTGAAACTTTATAATTAAAAAAAGAAAAATGCAAACAATTTTTGTAAAAATTCATTATTCATTAAAAAAAAAAGTTTCATCAGACTATAATGTCCTTAATATTATTTATAAAAGCAATTAAAAGTTTATCTAATTAAATAATTAGATAATTTTACTGCAGTCTTACAATTTGGAGAAGATTTTAGGGAATTTGGTAAGGGTTTGAAAAAAAAAAATATTTACATTCTCCAAGGAGTCCTACTTTTAACTAATAAAAAACATTTTGTTGACAATTTTAAATTCTAGAAAATTTTCATGAAATTAAGTATAACGGAAGTCCTGAAAGTTTCTTAAAATCCAACAATTATTTGATTTTTGCAAGAATTTTCAAATTGATGTTATTTTATCAGAAAGCAGGCATGAAAATGCCCATTACCAGCTCAGTTACACTGTTGACGCCTAAAAGGAAAAAAAAACAAGATTTCTAACCCAAATTTTGAATGTCTTAGAAAGGAGTAAAAAATTTTCAAAAAACACTGCTCTTTCCTCTTAATAACAAACATTTTGATGATAAAACCTTGTTTATATTAAGTTTGGGGCCTTTTTTATAATGAAAAGGTGGGGGTACCTATATTATACATATAAAAAGTGACGACTTTGGGGGTTGGGCTTGTCATCCTGAACAAGTCAGCATTCAAGTATATCTATTTCAAAGCAACAAAAGTTTTCGTAGTGCAGTGTTTTCTTTCTTGGCTTAGCTGGATCCAAAATTGTCTTAACTCCGTGCCTCAAAATATTGACTGAAAAACATTTTGTTGATATTATTCATAATAAGGAAGAGAGAAAAGAAAAAAAGAAAAAATAAAAAAAATGGCATAAAATTTATGTGGGTAATTGGGCTGCGTAAGTTTGAGGCTGGAGACATACTTATTAGGCAATGTATTTCTTGCTTTAATTTTATAAATAATCTTTTAAAAATCTAATGACTTTTGTGTACAAAGAACAGATTTCTGTTTCAACTTATTCTTTTCAAATGTCCATTTTAAATAATTTACTTCATACATTCTGCTAAAAAATCTTATACTGTATCAATTGAAATGGGGCAAATTAAATTTATCCCAACTTAGGGAAAATCAAAGATGCTTGGTGTGAAGAGTGTGACTGGAATAGTGTTGAGGAAATAATATCAGTCAGCAGCACTGATCATAAATGTACAATAAATTAAGCTAAAAATTCAAACAGAGAGATACATAAACACAATAACACACATACATACATACATATATATATAACAAAACACTCTAGATAGATACATTTTTTTCTCTTAATAGCATATTTTATTAAAGATTGTAATGAGCCTGACAAGGCACAGTGGAGTAATGGATAGCAGCTCTGATTGAGAAATCAGAGAGCCGAGTTCAAATTCCAGTCAAATCCATTACATTCACTTACGCACTAATACCCTTGGGAAAGGTATGAATCCTATTCTTTTCACCCCCCAGCTATGGTTAAATAGCAGGATGGGCCAGGTTCTATAGCTTTGGATGGCAACTGGTCTACTGCAGAAAGAAATGGCAATCTATTGCAGGGAAAAAATCTGCCTCGTCAGTTATGTATTGAAAGATATGATTGCCTAAGCATGTATCGCGCATGACTAATGAGCCTGAAAAACATTGATGACCTAAAGTTGCCACTGCGATATATACACACACACACACACACCACATCTTTATCCTCCTCCTCCTGTTTTTCTGAATCTCTCATTTATTTTGCTCTTTCCTCTTTTTCAGAACAAAAGCCTCCATTCTACAACGAAAGGATTTCAATCAATTGTTACAAAGTGTTGGTGGGAACATGAGCAATCTCAAACAGGAATTGTTAGATTACAACACGTTCACCGTGGCCGTTCCTGATAAAGAAATTAAACCGCAGTACTACAGGTAAACAGCATTGGTTCCCATGGGCAGGAAGAGTTTTCATTCTTTTTTTTTTTTTCTTTTTTTTTCTTTTTTTAAAATATTTATTATGTACTAGTATCATCAATGTTGTCTTTTTGTAGAACTATAAGAGATTTAGAATTTATTAAGAATTCTTTAAATACAAGATCTTTCTAGAAAGATCTTCTAAAAAAACAGATCCAAAGAAAGAATGAAATTGACTTTCTCTTGCGTTCCCCATAATTTTGTTGCAATTTGTTGGCTACAAAAAAAAAAAAATAACTTACCTGGCAATGTTTCATTTGAAAATCCTTTTTTTTTTTTTTTTTTTTTTTTTTTTCTTTTAAGCTGAAATGATTTTAGTGAAGAGAATAATTTAGAAAGAATGAAACAGTGACTGAGCTCCATTGTATGCATTATATATTCAAATTTACAAAAAAATCTAATTGAATTGAGTTCACGGGACATACGTAAGCTGAAAGTTTGAGAATTGCTTAAAGAAAGAAATGTCAGAAAAGAAAAAAAAAAAATTCAAATTTTTTTGTTAACTTGAATTTATAACGTATCAAATGTAGCTTATTCACTGTTTCATTGATTTCTCAAGAGTGATCAACGATTGCAAAAGCTTTCCAAAATATGTTTTAACAATAAATTATCCATTGAAATTACAAGTTTTTATTCTTTTTAATTCAACCACCAATGAAATCAAGTGTTTTTACAATTAAGAGAATAATTTCTTTGCCTTACACGAAATCACATTGAAACAACAATTCTCGTACAATTGTTAAAGTTAAACAATATCAAGCCTGTTCAATACCTAGATGGGTGACCACTTTGGAATAACACATACTGTAAGCTTGGCTCTGTGGGTGGTGTAATGGATAATGGCTTGGAATTGTTAATTGGAGAGCTGAGTTCCAATTCAAGTTTGGTTCTTTATATTGATTTATGTGCAAATGCCCCCAGGAAATGTATGAATCCACCTATTCTCCCCCAGCTATGGGTTAATTAGTAAGACTTGTATCGTTAAACCATTATTTTTTTTTAAAAAATTCTTGCAATCTAAAAATATTTTCTGGCTTTAAATAACCTGCAATAGGTTGATAAGCCATAAAAAACAAATCCAAGCCAATAATCTTTCCCAATTTTTTTCTTTCGTAAACATTGTCTAACCAGAAAATCTTTATTGCATGAACCACAATTTAAATTCTTAATATGGATTAATTATTATAAATAATTTAAATTAGTGAAAAATCTTTTTTTTTCCTTTTCAGAAATCCATTTGACATTCCTCGAAAGAATTTATTAGATCAAATTTCTCGAATGAGAGTCAATTTCTTACAGACGTGTCCTTCAAGCTCAAAATTATTAGATGATGGTAAGGCATTTTCTTTCTCTTTATGGCATCAAATGAAATTTTTTTTCAAGTTTTGCTTCTAAAGAAAAAAGTTTTAAAAATAAGTCTTTAAATTTATCAAATAACATTTAAGCCTTTTATTAAAAGTTTGCCTTGTGCGTCCAGAATTCAGACTCAAATGAAATCTAAAAATTGTTGCCAATTGTTTAAAATGTGATTTTGTAAATGTGTTCAAAATGTTTATAAATCGTGACTTTAATTCAATGGCTGGTCTTATTTTTGTACATTTAAAACACCTGCCATGAAATGCCATCATCTCTGAAGACCATCTTAGAGAAACTTGGAAATTGGTTTTGTTATTTGTGAACCTTGGCAATGGTGAAATTACCTGCTTCTATACAAGGAAATATTTGGTGTTCATTGACCAAACGGCATTTCTGTTGGCTGAAATTTATAAAATCTTTCCCTTAAAAAATTTATTATTCAGGGAAATAGTTTTCTCAAATCCACAAACTGTTATTGCTCCTTCTACTAGTGATGGGCAGTTTCTTTCCTAAGCTTTAGTTTTAAGTAGTGTGGAATGCCAACATCTTGATTGTCATTTTTTATTAGTTATGGGTTATCCGTTTTAGTTGTTGGAAGTCCTCAAGTAATGTGGTTTCGGTTATTTGGTACAGTTCTTTGTGATTGTGTAGCACCTGTCAACAAGGTTGAAAGGAGGATAGTTCTCTCTAAGACCTACAAGCTTTATTTGCTTGAAAACATTTTCATCATTGATCCGAGAAGACGGTTGTATATTTAGCTGATAGTTTGGACATTTCTTAGCAAGTTGGATGTCATGTGTGACCTCCAGTATAAGAGTCTTGATCTGATGATTCTTAGATGACATGGGATAAATTTAATCAACCATTTAAAGAAAATGATTCTTCTTTTTAATTGAAATCTTTGAGGGATTGGGGTGGGGGGGGATCCTTAATGGAATTGTGTCCAGTGATATTGAGCCATTTTTATTGGCCAATTTCTGTCAGATTTAAACTTTACTGTGGATTCAAACAAAATTCAACTTTTCTATAAATCCTTGTAAATTCTGAAAAAGTTAACCTTCCTCCTTTTGATAGAAATTTATTATAGAAAGCTTTAACTTTCAACTCGTAACACAATAAAAATTAAGTGAAATTAAGATAAGTTTATAGAAAAATAGTGGCCTCAATTTAAAAGACTTGTATGAAAAATATCATCTTTTTACTTAAAGGGAATCAGTTTACGGCTTTTCTTTAGCAAATGCGAATCAGCTGCAGCATTTCTTTTGGGTTTTGGGATGATTAGTTTGTTAATTATCTGGGGATGACTGCAAGTAACTGATTATATGGGCTGGGAATCAGTGTCTAATTTTGACTCTCCTGTTGCCAAAGCTTTTGTTCTTTCTGCTGAAGTGCCATGTTTTTTGTCTTCTGTAGATCAAGTTCACAGCATTCCAGTCCAACAAATGGGTAACTATCAGGAATATCTCAAGAAAATGCCTGCTAGTCTCCGAGAAATTGAAACGCAACCTGCACGTCTGCATATGTTTGGAAATCCTTTCAAAGTAAATAAAGTGAGTCAGTTTTTGATTTTTGGAAACTTGGGGGGGGGTCTCTTCTCTCAAACTGACAAACATTGATGGTGTGCTTTTAGTTTCCTTTTAAGGAATTAACTCTTCAGCATCCACATTTCAGAAGACAAAGCTGAAAATGCCTTTTAGAAAAAATTGGTTAATTGCTAAGAATTTTAGAGACAAAAGATTAGACGAAAAGGTTTTGACACTCGTTTCTTTTGTTTAGTTGGAACCCTCCATGATAAAAGCCATTTTGGCAAATCCCTTGTGTGCATTTAATGATAATTTGATTCCCTATTTGCTGAACAGCTTTTTATTTTTCCTCCAGAACATAATGATTGATGAAACTGACGAAGCTGTCTTTGGACAGCCGTCACGAAGCAAGAAACCTTCAACAGAAAGTCCACAGAGTTCTTTACCAAAGAAAAGAAAACCAGGTTTGTGTTCTTTAATACCCCCCCCAAGTTGTCTTATTTTTTTTTTATTATTATTGCAAATGCATACAATTTGTCTCTTGTTCCATCAAGAGAGACGCAAATTAGAAAAAAAAATTCAGGTTCAAAAGAATCTGAAAATTTGAGTTAACATTTTTGGTTGGTTGAAATTTTTTACTGGAAACTAATTTTTTTTTTCTCTCTCTCTCTCTTCTGTCCTGTGCAGGTCCTTTACCGCGAGATCTTCCCATTAAGCGACCTGCTTCTCCATCCCTGCTTTCCCAAGATCTTTCGCCCCCAGTCAGTCCCAAAGTTGAAAATAATATTGCCAAGGTAGAAAACTCAGCAACAACAGGTGAGTTGGCAAAAAACTTTATTGGGAATTGTGATTGCCTCTTGGTTAAAAAAAAAAAAAAAAAAAAATTATTTTTTATTTTATTTTTTTTTTAACCCTAAATCCATGCTTTTTATGAATGTCTTGGCCCAAAATAATCCATGTTTTAGGCTAGAAAATTTAATACTCATGTTCACCTAATACAAGAGCCACTCAAGGTAGAGGGTTACTGTGTTGTGTTGTAGAGAAAAATGAAAACAATTCTTGTAAAAATTCATTGAAAAAAAAAAATCCTTAATATCTTATTCATAAAAGCTGTTAAAAGCTTTTCTAATTAAATAGCCTTCTAAAGTCTACTTCACCTCTATACAACTAACAGTTGTCCTTTCCTATGCTAATATAACACCACACTGTAACCTTCTACCTTGAGTGGCTCTTGGGCCTTTTACTGGGTAAACATTTATTTAAAAAAAAAAAAAAATTCAGTAAATGAAGTTCTTGGGTGTGGCTACGTGGGGAAAGTTAACAGCAAACTCTAGACTTTAAGATTCACTAATCTTGACCTCTTCAATAGGAAACAAGGGATAACCCATTACTTCTGTTGACAAAGAGGAGTGTGAGTTAAACGAAAGGTGAATCTGCATCTCCTCTTTTTGGTAGAGGAGAAAAATAATTAGTGAATAAAGTTTCAGAGTTTAGATGGAGACATTAGGCATAGACCGTATGGAAGGGCCATGGCATTCCTTTCTGTTTACTACATGTTGAGAATAAAGTCCCATCAAAAAGCTTTTTTTCTTTTTTGTTTAGATGACTCGTCCATCTCCTCAAACCGTGGAAGCCCTTTGAAAGAAGAGACGCAAGTGGAGACGAACCACATCCACGAGAGCACGCACCCAACCAATAGTTCGTCCTTCCAATTAGACTCTTCCCCAATGGAAGTCGGCAAAGCCGATCTGGATGGAGAATTGGCACCAGTTCAGGACTTTCCTAATCAGAACAACAATTCAAGCAGCATTTTGGCCACAACAACTGCAAATCACAGAGTGGAGTCCAATTCTTGTGGGCCCAATGCAAAACTTCGCAGCATCTTGTATAGAGAACTCAGGAAACCTGGAAAAAGTGAGTGGTTTTTTGTTTGTTTTTATTATTATGCTTGCATTTCTTCATTTTTAAGTAACTCCCCCCCCCAACATGTAGAGATGTGATTTGGCCAAAAAGTCAGCAATCGAGCTGAGGCCTTAGATGTCATTGTTTAAATCTTACCCTATATTAATTTGCTACAAACATTCTACAATGTGTTGGCCATTTTACTACTTCTTACATTTTGACAAGAAAAAAAGTCATGATTCCATCCATTCCCTTGCCTCTCAAATAATTTGTTTTCTCCTGTCAGTAACCAATTTTGTATTATTTTTTTTCCCTTTCCAGATTACGATAAGTTCTTTCATCATTTAAATTCTATGCAAGGTTCGTTAGGCATCAAAATAGACTTTATCAAAGACTTGATTCGCGAAGCGGGTCGTTTCAAGAAACGGCGACTCATCCAACACCTGGAACAATTTGAAAACGCCTTGACAGAAAATGAGATCCGACGACCTCGCAAGATGCAGCAACGAACAAATGAATTGCATCCCTTGAGTTGATCCGCATTGCCATGGACTGTGCACTCTCTCATCATATTCACAGCATCATTCGGCTTCTCTCCTACCAAAGACGAGGTATGTCAGCAACAGGAGGAGGAGGAAGTTTTGTGCCCTAGAAACTGTCAAAGAATTCAAGCTCTCTGTCTGTGATGGCAAATTCTTCTGCTCATGGAATCAAAAAAAAACAGGAATATTTTTCTTAATGAAAATCTCACCTTTTCATTTTTTTTTTTAAACATTGAAAAAAAAGAAAACTTCAAATTATTAAACTAATCAATTTTCTGTTACTTTTTTTTGTTAGCATTCACTGTTTACAAATTTTCAGGTTGGATCTTTTCCAAGGAGAAATGGAAACAAACAATAAATCTGGGACTCGCCCCCCACAAAAGAAAAAAAAATTCTTTTTATCTTAGATGAAAGAAAACCCTTCACTCCTTGTAAGAATCCAACCTTAGAAAATTGTCCGTCTTGTCTGTCTTTCAAACAATAAAACCAAAAGGTTCGGTTGTGTATTCAATGACTTTATTCAAATCAACATTCTGTCATGAAACATAGAAACCACTACCCCCTTCTCCCCCAAATCTGGAATAACAACATGTGACGATCACCAAGGCTCCAGGTGAAACATCCAAACAAGAATTTTCTGCAAATTTCTACATTTTTTTTTTTTTTTTCTTCCTTTTTGAAAAGATTGACTCAGTTTTTGGATTTTTTCTTTAAACTGAAAATGTCAAAAGAAATGGCTGAGAAAGATGTGGATATTTTTTTTTTTAACTACCCCAATCCCAATGAAGTACATGCCTTAACCTAAAAAAGGCAAATCATTCTAACCAACTAGTCGTCGTGAGCCTTAATAACGGAGGCAAAAAGAAAAGGAAGAGAGCAAAATTTGGTCAGCTGTTGCTGGAAATGATGTAGTGTTCTTCAACCTCTCCTCGAAATTTGATGTTGGATGGCACCATCGCAGATTGGTTGGCCAATGCCTCTTTTGTTGTTGTTGTCTGTCCCACTGGACACGCATTTCTTAGTTCAGGAAGCGACGATTTGGATTTCTGCCAAAGAGAACCTCTCTCAGTTCAGGTAACATCTGTGAAAAAGAGAATAAAAATGCAGAAGTGGTCAATCGATGAACAAGTTCACTTCTAGCTGAGGAGAGAGAGGAGAGAAAAAAATGCTCACCTGTTGGCTGATGAGGTCCAATCGTTTGTCCAATGTATTGGTCACCTTAATTTTACCTTGCTGGGCATACACTTCCACACCTCCCGATCTAGAGGACAACAAGAATTGAAGCATTTTATTATTATTTACTCAAGTTGATTAAGAGTTGTTTAACAAAAAGAAACAGAACCTCTTACTTACACAGAACTTGGCAAGAAATTCTCTGTGTTGAGAGAGACTTTGATGTCTTTCTTGGTAGCCCTTTTGTAATTCTCTTGGCACTGAGGTAAGACTTCCTGGAAAGGAAAGAAAGAAAGAGAGACAAGTTCTTAAAATGTTTCCATCTAAAAAAAGAAAAGAGAGGTGAAGAAGTTGAAAGACAGTCTTACTTTGATGATGCTATGGTCTTGCTCTCGGCACCTGATAATCACATAGGGCTCGAGTAGTTGAGTGAAGGCCTACAACAAAAAGAGCGAGATTTTTGGTTCGAGAAATAATCCAATGCTTTTTTGGAGAATTACAAGTTGAGAAAGGGTCGCGGGGTGTTACCTGGGAAATAAGGCCTTCCAAGACCTGCCTGTATCGTGCTCTGTCATGAGCAATTTGTCCAAGACGTCTCCTGGCTTCTTCCAAAACATCCTTAAAAAGAAAAAAGGTCAAAACATGTCAACAGATTTAATGCCATTAACAGATTATAAATTATTTCAGAATGAAAGAAGCCAGCTTCAAAGTTTTCTCTCCAAGTTTTTTTTTTTGTTTTTTTTAAATAGATAAAAGTCAAAAGTATTAAAGAACAAGAAGGGGGGGAGAGAAAAAGCTTAATAATCTTTTGTCCACTCACCCTGACATGATCTTCACGGCTCTTCAATACTTTGAGTCTGGCTTGATTTAAAAGATTAGAACTTTGGCTGAAAGTAAGAGTTCAAAAGGTCAATTTGAAGCCATTTAGGAAAATTCTATTTCTTTCTCTCCTAACAAATGTTGGGCCTTTCAAGATCAATTTTACATCAAAAATTTATTTTTCAAATTAACCCTTCCTCCCTCATTTGTGGGTGTGGGCAGTTTTAGAAGTTTTTAGAGATTTTTTTTATTTTTTTTTTTTATATAGAAGAAAGCTAGAAATCCTAAATGAAAAAAAAAAAAAAAAAAAATGCGCCCCCACCCCCCAGCCAATCAAGACCTACGTTTGTTTTTGTTTTGTTTTTTTTTGTTTTTTTTTTTTAGCAACTTACATTTTTTTTTGTAGCTCTACTTGTTTTTCTTTCCGTTCATAATATTCCAGGATTTTCACTCTTTGTTGTTGAACCAAACGTCCCTTCTCAATGTTAAATTCTTCCTCAGCCTGCAAAAATATCAAAAGCAATTTTGACTCATCAATCTGCAAGATATTCTTCTGGAAGGCATGGTTTCATAATCAAAGTGGATGAGGTCAGAGATTTTCCAAAGATGAAGACACGACAAAGGACAGGATCAAAAGTTAAAATAGTCTGAATAAAATTTAGAATCCAGTTTTGTAGAATAACTGGATTGGTCAGTTTATGGGATATAAGCGATATTTTTGAATGTCAGCAGAGACCACGTCTCATAATGTCTGCTGAAGCCTTACACCAGTTGGAATCAGTTTTCATTGTTTCCTACAAGAAAAGCACTTTTTTAATCCGGAGTTTATCGAACCTTTGTCTAGTTTCAATTTCCAAATATGGAAACAAGAGAGTCACTCATTAAGAACATCTTTTCATTCGACCTCAAGATTTTTTTTTTTTTTTTCTCCATCTGAGAGATTAAGTATTTGCCAACACTACAAAACTGTTCATCTTTCTACACCATTTTCCCTCCCAAATTATTACATTTGGCCAAAGGAAGTTTGCTAACAATTACAGAAAAGTAACTTTCAGGTTTTCTACCAAAGTTAGGATTAATCAGCCTCACCTACCTGGCAGTGAGGAAAGTCTTATGACAATAGATTGGGTAAAGAAACCAAAAAGATTTAATGATTGATTAAAAAGTGAAACAGCTCACCTTGACATCAATTTCTTCTGCTTTTTCATTGGCCTCCTGATCAATGAAGGCCATCATATGTTTGATCTGAAATAGAAAAAACAATTTAGCATAAATAACAATGTCTAAACAGATTAGATTTTTCTTCAAGAAAAAATTTAAGGAATCTTCCAACCTGGAGGGCCAAAAATTCTTCATTACCAAAGACTTCTAACAATTTTGAAAGAAAAGAACTTTTCAAATAAAGTCATTGTTTCATATAAAATAATCAACCAGCTTTGAAAAAAAAAAAAAAAAAAAAAAAAAAAAAAAATCAATGACATTTTTTTTATGTACTATTGAGTTATATATATATATATCTATCTATCAGAAAATAGAGAATCACTTTTATAAATCTATCATGTAGTGGGGGGGTGTTTAAAAGCTTTTACATAATGGGATTAAAAACTAACAAAATTGTTTATTAAAAGCAATAAAAAGGGATTTTAAAATTCTATCTTAACTCATTAATGAGACATCGGTAGGAACTAAACATAATACAGAATTTTGTTTTTTCCCTAATTTATACTAAATGTTATGGTAGGCATTAAAAGTTGGACTATTAACAATTTCAGCACTTTTCTTTCCTTTCTATATAAAAGATTGGAAAGACATAAGATAAAAAGTCATTTTTTTTTTTCCCCTCCTTTTGTGTTGCATAAGATCATCTTGTTACAATTACATGATTCTACTTATTCAATGTTTGTCAATTTGACAAATCAAGGATGGCAGTCTGGTGGGTATTTAAATTCAACTAAATTAAGGGTTTTTAGTTCACAAACTTGGACTTTTTAGTTGAAGTGACAAGAATACTACTATCAACCAAAATCTGACAAATTAGAATATATATATTGACATGTGTCATATATTGACATGTGACGGTCTTTTTGTGGAGAAATGTTATTAGTAACCACAAGGTTGAAGTTTTGCATTTGTCACATAAGACGCCAGAATTTATAATGACACGGATCAGCATCCACAGAACGAGGCACACCTTTTGCTGCAACCTGCATAAAAATGGGAAGGACTGAGGTGGAACAGATATTGCATTTGAAAGCCATGCAATTATATGGATCCTAAGCAGAGGGGCCAGGGAATAACACTAATCTTAAGCAGAGGCCACAGATATTCTGATTCTATAATGTGAGATCTAATATAAAATCAACTTAATGCGCATAGTATTAATTGACCAACTTTCATGTCAGTTGACCTTAACTTACATTACAAATAATTATTTGCTAAGATGACATAAAAAAATAAAAAAAACCATTATAAAAAGAATTTCCTTTAATATTGTTTAACCTCTATTTTCATTGTCCAGGTGAAACGTTTAATGAATTGCAACAATTTCAGGTGTTCTTACTACTGAGCAAAATTAATTTAAAATAAAAAATGTTGAATATTTTCCGTGGTGTGCTGACCCTTAAAGTATTTTGTTTTAATCTTCTTTTCTTATGCAGTATCAGGATTGTGGTGACCTGAAATTGACTAAAGTGAAATTTCTTTTACCAAGTCTCATTGAAACATGCACACAGCCTCTTTTATTATTGCATAGATAATGGAAAAAGTAGTAATAGCATTTATTAACAAAATATTCACCACAAATTAATTCTTGAGGTTAACTCACTGAATTAAGAATACAAAAAACATGTTTCTATTTTTTTATCTGAAATCAAAGTATTTGTTTCTGGTTGTTTCATGAAATATTTTTATAGCAAACTGCATATTTGCAGGTTGTCAAGTAAGTTTCAGGTTTCTTACATTAATTACCTTGGAGCTTTAAATAGTTATAAACATTCTATTTAGGTACAAATTTGCCTCTTGGATATTTTCCTATTTCAACAGATGAAAATGCATGAATACTGATAGTTAAGTGCTATAAGTGATACCCGCTTTTCAATTCATTACTGACAAGGCAGATTCTGTCATTTCTCTGTGGTAGACTGGTTGCCAACCAAGGCTATAGATCCTTGCTATTCAACCCAGAGATGGGGAGAGAAGAGATGGATATATACCTTTCTCAAGAGTATTTGTGTGCAAGTGAATTTAACTAACCCGACTGGAATACAAACACAGCTCTTTGAGTTCTCATTCCAAGCCAACATTTATTACACTACAGTGTAATAATTTTTCATCTCTCATACTAAAGTTATTTTTTCCTGTATGGCTTCTTTTTTTTTTAATAAAAGAAATAACATTTGATGAGGAAATTATTTCAAATTTTTAAGATAAAAATGAAATTAAAAAAAATATGAAATTCAACTTTGTAAATTGGTGTTGTCTTGTGAACAGTTTACATTGTTTAGGATTGGGTTTCAAGTTCCTTCTAAATTCTACTTCAACTCTATACTTCTAATGACCCTTACCCTAAACTCTAAAAATTAAGGGTACTATTGGAGTTTCAGTTCCTTCTAAAGTTTTTTTCCTTCTCTTTCACTTTTGTCTCTTGTGTCTTAGTGACATTATTGACTTGAATTGATTTAAAAGAAAAAATAAAATGGTTATTTTACAATTTCAATTGGGCCATTCTTAAAAGGAAAAAACAAATGTTTTTAATGCTTAATATGCATTTTAAACTTTCTATAAATCTTTCTTGCAAAACTCATCTAAATTTAAAAGGCTAACACCAAATGAATAAAAGCAATTATGAAAATTCTATTTCAATTCAATTTTTAACAATTGATAAGAAAAATTTTACAGTTAATTTAAAATCTTATTTTTAATTCTTAAAGTTAATATAATTAACATTTTCGAATTTTGATAGTGCTCAGAATTACTGACATGTTCTTATAGAAGAGACCTCTTCTCCACTCTGCAGCCTTTTTTGTACAGACACGACATTGCTACTCTATGTTCAAATGACCTTCCTTCTTTAGTTCAAACAGTTCAGACCTTTACTTCTAGGACAGAAGTAAAGAAAAAGTTCAGCTCAAACAATTCTTTCTATGCCCAAGAACTGCTACTTTGTTGAACAGACTCCCACACAGATGCTTCCCTGAGAATTACACTCTTAACCTCTTCAAATCAAGAGTCAGTTGTTATTTATCCTCCTTATAACCTTCATTTTCTACCACCCCTCTCTTTCACTCATATCACACTTTATCATAACCATTTTAATAGTAATCTTTTGCCTTGAGTGGCTCTCGAGTCTTGGTATTGAGCAAACATTATCCTTACACATACATGCACATATAAAGTTTCTAAGGAATTAATGGATGTCATTTTTAATTGAGCATTACTCTGTCTTTTTGTTCTAATGTAACCACCCTGATTTTTTTTTTTTTAAACTTTGTGAATTACGTCTACTGCCCTGTGCATTCAAGAGATGTGGGAAAATGCCAGCCCATTTTCTTTTGTCTCTCCAATGCACAGGCCTGTAGACTTTAGTCACACGTTTTAAAAAAACAGAACATCTACTCAAACATGTATCCACTAAAGAAAAGAAAAAACATTGAGCTATATATATATATAATGGTTTATATTATAAAATAGAATTAGGTAAGTGAGAATTTCATATTTAGTATGATTTTAGTATACATTAGCATGACATGGTTTCTTGAAATCTCAGTCACAAAGAATACTTGTTATTTATATCAAGTATAAGTTAGCATTTGGCCTCATCTGAATAAACTTATAACAATGCAATTATGTTGACATTAAAGGGAAATCACAGCAAACATCTTTTAAAACAAGACAAATAGATGAGATTTGCAGAAAAAACACAATTTGCACTGAAATTAATCAACATTTCTGTTTAATTCCCAAAACTGATAACATTTCAATTGATAGCTTTGTTTTAATCCAGCAAAAAGATTTTATTCTATTTACCATAGATTTGTTTACCAAAGTTGTTATTAAACTGTTTAAGTTAGATTAATTTTTTTTTTTTTTTTTTTTTTTTTTTTTTTTTTTTTTTACAGCTTATCTCTTTAAAGCCATAAAATATTTGTTTTTCAAGATAATGATTTAGTGATACAAATCTTACTAATTAACCCATAGCTGACAGAAGTGGATTCATACCTTTCCCTTTTGCAAGTAAGTGAATATAATGAACCCAACTAAAATTGGAACTTGTCTCTGATTACATACCAAGCCATTTGGGAAGCTTGTGGCACACTGTACACTAGATTACACCACCCACACATCCAAGCTTACAGCACCTGATATTCCCAAGCTGTCATCCAAGGGACTGACCAACTCGATGCTGCTTAACTTTGAAACACCTGTTCTCATACGGATATAAAGTCTTAAAAACGTTTGTTGGATATATATATATATATATAACTTAAATATGAACCAGTTTTGAAACTTGTATCATATTAAACATTTCTTGAAGCTTATCATATAAAGAAACAATAGGTTTGCTTAAAGCATAGAATTAAATAAATTTATTATCCCAGTTAGTCTATTATGTTATTCTTTTCATTAATGATAAAATACATAGAAATCTCAACCAACTTTCTTATACTCTATGACCTTTTGTAAATAATCGACATTCAAACAGCATTATTTAATCTCTTACTATTAAAGACTGATACCTCTCAGTCACTCATTAATGAAAAAGCAAAAAAAAAAAAAAGGCAATGATAAGAATTGATACAGTTGCTAACTCAACCTGATCAACTGCAATTTACATGGTAAAAAATTTTCTAACAGGATTCAATGGTTTTGTGGGCAGGGGCAGTAGATATAGAAATGTTTTTCTTCTAAAATGACCACTTCATTCTTCTTCCCATGAAACATTTGCACAAACATCTTGAATTTCACAAAACTGGTTCTTATACTAAATTAACACTTATTTAGGTCAGATCACTGAATGAAAAATGTCAAAATACACACACACATATATATATTTTCAGATGGAGTACATCTGTAAAAGGACAATATGAATAAAGGTAAAAAGAAAATTCATCTTAGATGACATGTTTCAAATGCCTTGATAAAGTCCCTCAGAGGATGAAGTCCATCGGCTAAGTTTTCCTTTTATCATAAAATAAATATACCCCCCTCCCCACCGGTAGCATGATTCACAAGGCAATCTTCAGACAGCCAGACTACCTGTACATATGAATTGGTTATAATGGTGAAAGAACTAGTGTACAGTGTGCCACAAGCTTCTCAAATGGTTTTGAATTCAGAGTTGCTCTACCATTTATCCACACCCAGGGGCAGAAGAGATGAACTTGACTCCAGGCCACTATCTATTACTTCACCATGTATCGATTATATATATATATATATATATAAAATGTATGAGAGAGACAGGTGGGATAAATTTATCACTGACAATTCAGAAATTGGTCATTTTGTACGCATTTTTGCTTTAATAAACTCAAAGTTATACTGATCATTCATCATAATTTTAACTTAAAAATGTAATTTTAATTAAAACTGAGAAATTAATTAAGGTGAAGATTTACAGAAAGAGCATCTAAGACTGAATACTAAACTGACTAAATGTGAACAGTCATTTAGTAAGGTTTGAAATCAGTTTTCTTTGTCTTTGTTAAATTTGTGGTAATGAACCATAATTGATCTGGTGATTGAAAGAGAACTTTACACTTTAGTTTCCAGGCTTATGCACTACAACTCCCAAAATAAACAAATAAAACCATGAAGACCATTGTTGTTATGACTACTACTACTCCTTCAAATATGAATATTTCAACAACATGAAAGTGCTCTTTGATATCTGTAAGTGTAATGAATATTTTAACCTCCAAATAAATTTGACTTTGAAAAAAAATTTTTTTTCTTTTTTTTTTTTTTTTTTTTAGTACAAAATAATAAAATTAAAAATGTAATTCATCTTTGTACACCTTACTACAGTTAAAACATTTAATCATTTAATAATATTATATTCAGAATATAACTGGACTTGCAGATTGTTATATATGTTGTCCAGAAAATAATTGGCTGCTTGCTGCCCTCCTTAGAAGACCTTTCTAATTCTTATCGTCAAAGAAAGACAGCACATATCTCTTTGTTTAATCCATTACCTTTGAGGCGATGTTTTAGATCTTAGTCCTAAGACAAAGATCATGAGGGACAGCTTTTATCATTAGGCCCGGAATAAAATGAACGTTGCTGCACACCAATAATTTTAAACATCATTACTTATTTTTATTCTATGCTGTGTGTGTACGTTTTTATTTGGTGGTGGTGGTGCTACAGGGATCATTGTCCAATTGCGCATTTCAGTGATGAGGAAAAAAAAATCTTTACATTTTCATTAATCAACGGAAATGAATGCATTGCAACAAGAGTCTTGTTACAAGACGTAGAAACCGGAAGGAGGTGAGGACTTTTTCGTCTCCGGATTAAAAATACCTTACACTTCGATGTGGTGTAGTAATGGTTAATGAGCTTGTTTCGCTAAATCAATCACGACTGAGTAGAGAGTTCGATCCTTACTGGGTGCTGCCATACTTGCAGCCACATCTTAGTAAATGGCTAAAAATACAGATATCTATTTCATTTCACTTTCAGTGTTCGTGTGTGTTCCTTAGTCATTGCGGAACCTCAATGACAAAAAAAAAGTTATCTACATATTTGGTAACATGTGACCGACCTATTTTCTATTTACTCGTAAAATAGGAAAAAAAGAAATGAGAAAGTCGAAGAAGCAGGTGTTTATTATTAAACAAAAGAATTTGCATCTTTTTTTATACAGTGAAAAAAAAAAAAATGATAATTTGTTTCTGAATTGAATAAAAATAAAGCCGGATCTCAATTTCCAACTTCAAAATAAAAACTTGGCCCATCCTAGCTGGGAAATTTTCAAATTAATTAATAATAATCAGCCTAAATTAGTAAATTAGCTCGAGCCCCTAGGGGACATCTCCTCAGCAGGCCGTACATTTCTTTCGGGATTTGTGTGTGTGTGTTAGGGTGGGGGAGTCATTACCTGGCACCCGATCCATCCCCCCAAAAGAGAATTGTCGAGGGGGCGGGAGCGTGAGCAATTTCTGAAAACCCACATAAAACTCGACCTTGTGTCAAATTTTTGTGCAACATTAGCGTACGAATAAAAATTACATAAAAACTTTTTTTCTTTAAACTAAACAGTTTTACTTTTAATCAAGAAGCATTGTTTTTTGTTTTAAATTAAACGAAATTATATTTCAATTTTCTTTTCATAAGTCAAAAAAAAAAATAAAAAATGTCTTTCGCTTTTTATATAATTTATTTATCACGGCAAAAACATGAAATATATTCTAACCCCAGGTTTTTGAATGACCCCACCCCCAAGAGAAAATCATCAAGTTTTCTTTTATTACCCAGATTTTACAATTTACATTTTTATTCATAAACATCTTTACCAGACGAGTTACACGTTTAAGTTTTATTACTTTTTTAAAACCAATGTTTTAAAATTTTGCAATTGATTTCAATAAGATAAGATTAAGAAGTAAATATTTTAATTTTTAAAAATTAGGTTTTTTATGTAAATTTTTTTTTTCTAAAAAGACGGACAAATAATTATTATTTCAACTTTTCACATTTAAAGCTTTTTTTTTTTTTGGTTACACCCACGCATTTTTATTTTAAAAATTAATTAAAATAAATAAAAATAAGCAAGTCAATGACAACAATTTTAAAAAAAACACACAATTAATTCCCTAATTAATTAACAAGGTGCTTGATTATGGGTCGAAGTAACAACAGGTGTGTTCACAGGTGATAAAAGAGAAATAATTAGATCAGCTGAGAAAAAAAAAAGCATTATTTTAGTTTTTTGATATTTAAAAAAAATGCTTTCAATTTTATTGCGAAGTAATAATGCTTGGTGTTAAAGTAAATTTCATATTCAATACTTTTTTTTAAACATTCTTGACAGCACTTTGAATATAAAAACAAACATGAAAAAAGTAATTTTTTTAAAAACCAGTTTTATGTACTAAAAACGGTCATAAAATCTTAATTTCTTCAAAAATGCTTTTAAATATTGGTGTTTAGTTTAATTTTCTAATAAATAACCTACAATTTAAAATTTAATTAAAATTAAATAATAACGGATATTCAAGTCGATTTTTAAAAAAAAATAAACTAAAAACACTAAACCGCAAGAAAATATTTTTTTTCTGAAAGTTTTCTTAATTTTGTTATAAAAATTGTTTTTTAATTGTTCAAAAATAAAAACTTAATCTTTTTTTTACATTTATAAAAACAAATAACAAATTTAATTTTTTTATCTTTAATTAACGGAAATTCATGATAAATCTTTCGGAAAATTTTCATAAAATTATTTTTGTTTTTATTATAAAACAATTATATATATATATATATATATATAATTTTCGGTTTGTTAGAATTATTATTTCTTATTTTGTTACAATTTCGTATTTAAAAACTAAATTTATATTAGAAATAATTTATAATTTTTGAGGGGGCGGAAGAAATATGCCGTTCGATCGGATACGATCAATTATATTATAGTAAATTGTTTTAAACACATTTAACAACGAATAATGACATTAAATTTAATTAATTACCAAAAAATATTCTTTTAAATAAAAATTTCCGAAATAAAAACAGAAAAAACGAAGTTATTTTCCGAATCAAGAAGTAAGAAGCCGAAGCCATGAACATTTAAACAATTGAACAAAAAAAATCGCTCTAAAATGAGTTTTTGGTCTAAAGTACAAATATTTAATTGCACAAACGTAATTAAATAAACAATTTCCACTTATCTCACCTGTTTCTGGACGTCAGCATCGCTTAAAGCCATTTTTGTGGTTCTTTTGAGATTGTCGACCAAAAATGAAGAGACAGACGACAAAATACAGTCGGAGGTTCTCGTGATTAACTTTGACCTTCACCTTCGGCAAGGGGATCACGGGAAACGAGTAAACAATCTTTTTTTTTTTTTTAATTTAAAAAAAATTAAACTTATTATTTAGATATACTCTGTTAATTAATTTTATAGTAATTAATAATATTTATAAATCGTATATAAAAATAAAAATTTAATGTTAGAAGTTAAAGTAAACTAAAGAGGGGAAATATTGTAAGGGAGATAACTTGCAAGTTCGCCAGTCATGGCTCAGCTCGTTAAAAAGATAATTTCGTGTCAATAATTTGTGTTATGGCGGTCTAGTCACAAAACAGTAAAAAATGTTTTGTAACTTTAGTTTAAAAGCATCAACCAACTGGTTAACACGTAGTTGATGATATGCATTCCCATAAAGCATAAAATTCAATCCAGATTTAGGTTTGAAACGGAAACTAGTGAAGGAAGAATTTGAGTTCAGATTCAATGCGTTTTTTTTTGTGATCTGTCGGATAGCGGAACTGGGTTTAGAAAAAATAACGAAAAGACAAAATTTATTAAGAGCTACAAAGGACAGGAAATTGTGGAGAGCCATGATCGCCTACGTCCTGAAGGGACACGGCACATAGGAAGAAGAAGAATGAGCTTGAGTAAAAAAATGGATGGCGGAACTGGGTTTAGGGGAAATAACGAAAAGACATAAGAGTTACAAAGGACAGGAAGTCATGGAGAGCCATGGTCGCCTATGTCCTGATGAAACACGGCACATGAAAAGGAAGATTCATCTTTTTAGGAAAAAATGTAGAACTTGTGAGCTTTTGATTTTTCAAGCAAGCTCGTTTCAAAATACTTTCAAGGGAGTTAACTTTCTTTTCGATTAAATTTCATTTTAAAAAATATATATATATATATATATATATATATATATATATATTGAACAATAAAAAAATATTAAAAAATTAAAATCTTCAGACACACTGGGTTGTAGATTAATATTCTTTCGTTTTTTTTTATTTCATTTATATATATATATATATATATATATATATATATATATATATATATATATATAATTATTTATTTAAAAAATGAAGAGCATAGAGATCTCATGTTTCAAAAACAAGAGCCGGCTCTTGTTTTGAAACATGAGACCTCTTATGTAGCGATTTGGAATCATATTTTTAAATAAATAATTATATTTATGCTCTACTTTTGTATCGAGCACTATTTTTTAAAAATAATAACTAAAATACTAAGGGACTTTGGATTATTTACCTAACCAGTTCCTTCCTATTTTCTATATATTTTCACATATATATATATATATATATATATATATATATATATATATATATATATATAAAATGTGTGTGTGTGTATTTAGGTGTGTCTGATTGACTAAATTACAACCATGTCTGCTTATTTTTATTGTGATCTTTTGAACTTATGAAATTAATTGTAATAAAAATATTTGTGAATATGAAAGGATTACCTCCGCTTTTTCGCTGGAAAACAGCATAGCGTGATAAAAAATGCCACAAACTTAACAAAAATAAAGTTTTATCGTCAAAATGCTTATTATTAAGATGAAAGACCAAAGTATTTTTTAATTATTTTTTGAAATTTTTTAACACGTTCGAAATTTTGGTTAAAGTCTTCTTTTGATTTACGTCATCGCGGTGACATTTAAAATAACATTTTTTTTTTGTTGAAAACACATTGATTTGGAAATTCTTGGAAAAATCAAGTAATTGTCAGATTTTAATGAAATTTTCAGGACTTATTCACAAATGAATGAAATTATTTTTGAAATATTTCTTTTTAGAAAATTTTGGTAAAAAATATATTTTTTTTAAATATGTTACACCCCACTTACTTATTTTCATGAAATTTCGTCCAAAACCTTTCTATTTCCTGAAAAAAAAAATTTTGTTGAAAGTAGGAGTCATTGGAGATGGTAAATCACCTACTTTTTTTTTCAAATTTGAGCTATCTAACTGAAAATCTGCTCTGAATTGAAAAATAATGAATCCAATAAAACTATGATATTACTTAATTAGAAAAGCTTTTAATTGCTTTTGTAAATAAGTAATATTAAGGTCATTATTGCCTGAGGAAATGAATTTTTTTCTGATGAATAATTAAATTTTACAAGAATTTTTTCATTTGTTTTAAATTTTAATTATAATAATTTATAATAGTTTAAAAATCGTGTAAAGCTCTGTATTAGGCTATTTCCTTGAGGTTATGTAGTAATTAAGTGGAAACAAAATTTACGAGTCCAAAATTGCAAAGTTTAATAAACTTAGTTGCGCTATTTTTTTTAAATATATTTTTTTTTTATGTTGTATTTTTTACTTAATACGTTCCTTATTTCCATGTATGGTAGACTGAAATTGCCATTATTATAAAAAGGTCACGTGATCTAAGAGTTTTGTCCCTTTATTCTAATAAATGGATAGCACGTGGCCTTTTCATAACATTTCGTTTTTTAGTTGCCTTCCAACAAGTTGTATTTTCCGTTCAGCTCTAAAAGTGTGAAATTTAAATTAAGTTTTCCTTTTTTCATTTACTATTTCACTAAATATTTTTATTTTATGTATTTCCATTAGTGTGGGTCATAATAACTTTATTTCCTGCATATTTGAAATTAGGGTTTTTCATTTTTTGTTAATTTTGAATTTAATTTTTCTCTAAATAGAAAAACATATTCTTTAATTTAGTCAATGTTAATTAAAGTTTATTAACTATTACTGAATAAATATTTTATTTATTAAAAAAAAAATTTCTAAATCAAGGCATTCATTTTCTTGCTTACTTACGTTATTTTTAATTTTTTTAATTATACAGTGTAACCCGGATATAAGAGAGATTTTCTCTGGTCCCAAATTAGAGCCTGTGTTAATGTATATAAAATAGACCCGGATATAAGAGAAACCCGGATATAAGAGAGATTTTCTCTGGTCCCAAATTAGAGCCTGTGTTAATGTATATAAAATAGACCCGGATATAAGAGAAACACGGATATAAGAGAGATTTTCTCTGGTCCCAAATTAGAGCCTGTGTTAATGTATATAAAATAGACCCGGATATAAGAGAAACCCGGATATAGAGAGATTTTTCTAAAATGGTCCCAAATTAGAGCTCTGTAGTTAATGTATAAAATAGACCCGGATATAAGAGAAACACGGATATAAGAAGAGATTTTCTCTGGTCCCAAATTAGAGCCTGTGTTAATGTATATAAAATAGACCCGGATATAAGAGAAACACGGATATAAAGAGATTTTTCTCTGGTCCCAAATTAGAGCCTGTGTTAATGTATATAAAATAGACCCGGATATAAGAGAAACCCGGATATAAAGAGAGATTTTCTCTGGTCCCAAATTAGAGCCTGTGTTAATGTATATAAAATAGACCCGGATATAAGAGAAACCCGGATATAAGAGATTTTTCTCTGGTCCCAAATTAGAGCCTGTGTTAATGTATATAAAATAGACCCGGATATAAGAGAAACCCGGATATAAGAGAGATTTTCTCTGGTCCCAAATTAGAGCCTGTGTTAATGTATATAAAATAGACCCGGATATAAGAGAAACCCGGATATAAGAGAGATTTTCTCTGGTCCCAAATTAGAGCCTGTGTTAATGTATATAAAATAGACCCGGATATAAGAGAAACCCGGATATAAGAGAGATTTTCTCTGGTCCCGTCCTCCCCGATATAAGTTCGTTTTGAGTGACAGTGTGATGTCGTAAATCGGTCAAACAGAGGTCAGTTAGAGAGAGAGTGAAGTTCAATGACTTAATCTTGACAAGTCTAGAGACACGGTGTGTCCAATCTGTGTCTGTAAGAGACACCCTCTACCTTATGATTTTGCTTTGTGTGTCTAAGGGTAGCACCGCCCGCGTTTTTGCCGACTTTGCTTGTCGTTGCATTTACTGGGCAGCACTTTCACTTTACCCACTGTTCTGTTGAGTCATAAGTTTGTTTGTTAATTTTGCCACTGAAAACCGTTTGCTTGCGATTAGTGATGTTGGCGTCGGCGTCTCAACGAAAAACTGATCATTTCTGAACAGTTGGAGCTCATCAACGATGTCAAAGTGAAGAAACTCAAACTGGCCGCTGCAGCCAAAAAGTACGGAATCGGTTATTCAACAGCAGCAAAAATTCTCAAGGAAGAAGACGATCTCAGATCTTGCATGCAAATGAACGGAAACACTAATCGCAAACGAAAGCGCCAATCCGTGCACAAGGACGTTAACAAAGCGCTTACACAATGGTTTACGCAAGCATGTGCTCATGGAGCTACCGTCACCGATCACGTCATCAGGTAGAAAGCATCACAACTGGCCGTAAATCTTGAAGTTGATTTTGAACCGAGCAATGGCTGGCTCATGCGCTGGAAGCAGGCCAACAACGTTTCGTTCAAAAAATTTCACGGCGAATCAACGTCAGCAGATCACGGTTCTGCCAACGAATGGGTGACAAACGTTTTGCCGCAACTTTTTCATGGATATGATCCAAAAGATGTTTGGAACTGTGATGAAACGGGAATTTTCTACAAAGCCATGCCGTCTGAATCTTTGCGATTTGCCGACGACGAACAGTCAAATGGGACAAACGTTCCCAAAGACAGACTCACAATGCTTCAGTTCACAAACATGGACGGCAGTGAAAAGCAAGCAAGTAGTTGTTGGTAAGTCGGCAAAACCACGGCAAACAGATTTTGACGAATTTATCAGCTTCGACGACCGTACACAATGTTATGGAGAACTGACTGACACGGACATCACATGGTATAAAATCGGATGATCAAGATTTTGACGAAGATGATGATGCTGAAAGCGTCTGAAGTTTCTGAAAGTGACAAACCAGTGCCAAATTCTCTGGCTGCATTGAATGCACTTGAAACTCTGACAGCCTACTTTGAAGCAAAAAGCAGTAATCCTGATGGCA